AAGAACGTAGGATGAAAACTGGGTTCGGAAAACCCGGTCGGCGACCCACGTGGTCTATTGATTTTTTCGCCCGCCACGCCGCTACATTCACGCTAGTGGAAACTGGCCTTTTCTTCCATCATCGGTTAGCGCACCCTATAAATATTATATTAATTTTATTTTTTCATATTATATATAATCTTTTATAAAAATCAAATTTATGATATTTGTTGAACTTAATTTATATAATTTATTCAAATATTTATTTTAAAATTATTTATATATTTTTAATAATAATTTTAGTAAGTATTTTATATATAAAAACTATCGAATATCAGAATATAAGATTAATTTTTTATCCAAGCATGTATCTTAATAATTATATGATATTAATCATTTATATTTTAATACTAGCCTATTCCAATACTAGCTATATATTATTTATTTTTTATTAAAAATTTTTCTTACTCATTTTTTCTTACTTTTTTTTTAGTATTTTCTTATTTTCAAATTATGCGCTATTATTTAGTCCATGTTTCAGTTCTATCAGCAGGCGTGATAAAAATATAAATTATTTTCTTTAAAACTATAACTATATCAAGAAATTTTTTCATCTAATTGATTATTTAAAGATTATATTGAAAATAATACTATTTTTCATATGCATAATTATTATATTATACCTCTGAATTGCAATTTTAATAATTATAATAATTATAGTATATAACAATTAATATTCAATAATAATTGACATGTAATATTAACTTATATGTAATTATATAAATAATCATGATTTTTTATTAATAGTACAGCTGATTGAGCTTTATTATATCTTTATTTATATCTTTTATTTTCATTATAAAATATCGTTTCAAGTTCATTTAACTTTCATTTTGAAGCTTCTGTTCACGATCGTAATTAATAATTTACAAAAGATAGCGATAAATGTTCGTTGTTAATTAATTATAAACTAGATTTTCGAGTTGAATATGTTATCAAGCGATCGTGTTGGGTGATATAATATTACAAAATACTCCTCGTCCCTTATCACAACAATCGACCTGCAAACGGATCGATAACACATCCCCAACGTGATTCGAATATACGTTTAGTTACCATTTCTGACAGGTACCTATGTAGGGTCGATAGCGTGTCGATGGTAAACATACAATCTGATACCTGAGAACAGAGATCTTTTAATCATAGGTTTACAAATATTATCTATACAAATTTTGAAATTTTAAGAGAATATAATAACTTGAATAAAATAAAGTATTATAAATTAAAAAATACAAATGATAAAATTTCCATATTTATTATATTAAAATATAGATTGTTTATTTAAAAGAAATATTAAAATTAAAATAAAATTTAAACTAAATTGTCTAATAATATTTATTAATGTTTATTCATACTGATATATTATAAATTATATAAAAATAGTAATGATAAAAACTTGATAAATTTAAAAAAATAAAAAATTAATGACAAGTATATTAATGATTATCATTAATCATAATAATAAAAAATTGATAAATTTCATAATCCATATCAATCAGTTTTGATATTTCATAGATTTTTCTACAATATTTCGTATATATATTGTATTGAGTTTGGTTTTAAATGTTGAATGATTGATGTTGAAAGAAACAGAACTTTTTTAATAATAATTATCGTGTCACGCAAAGGGATTGATATGATGTTATCTCTTAGTAAATTTTTTTAAATAGAAGTTACATTCCCGTTACACGGAATAACAGGGTTATGGTTGTCGGTGTAAGATCAATAAAAACTGATGTAATGTTCCACGAATGTTTCGGGAACCTTCAAACTCGTCGGAATTCTTTTCGAATGCACGTGCATCAAACTATTATGACCTGAGCGGGACGTTTTTTTCTATTTGTTCCTCAAATTTTTAATTTATAATAAAACGACAATATTAATTCAAAATAATAATTAAAAATTTTTTTAAAATTTAAATCTATTTTAATAGATTATTTTCAATAAAAATAAAAATTTGATTTAAAAAAAATATATAAAAAATTTTTTTTATTTATCTATAGAAAATTGAAAATGTTTTTGTATATTTTTTCATTCATTACATTTTATCATTATACATATATTATCTTATAAATAATAAAGTTTTTTATCAAAAAAATATTTTCATAATTTCATACTGAGTCATTTAAGTGTAAAATATAGTAATTAATTTTGTTTTTTTATTTCTTATCAAAATATGAAGGTCATTTTGAATTTTATAATTGTAATATATGATATTTAATTATAAGGTTCGAAAAAATATTAAATTTTGAATAAAAAATTATAACAAAACTATAACAAAATTCATATTATATATATATATCATAGTTTTACAATCATTTTTAATATAACTTCGATTAGATAAAATACATTGTTATATATTATTATATTATATACTATATGATATTGATAAACATTGAAATCGTTGAATATATAAGAAAAGGATTTCTAGATCGACTATGAACAAATTCGAAACAAATTTTCCATATATACAGCCGAATAGAGTATCAAATGTGTGTGATACAATTAGTTTTCGTGTTATATATCGATATGTATGCATGTGTGGTTCAACGGAAGGCTTGAAGCAATACAAGTGCCAGACTGTTAGGAGTTTGAATTAAAAGGGATACTTGTGTTTCTTTTCATTAGAAGCTAGAAAATAAATTATAAAATCAGTTTTTGATGATTGATATTTTAGTATATTTAAAAATGCACATTAAAAAAATTCGAAAAAAAGATTAAAATAAAATAAATAATTCCCTTCCTTAAAATAAAATATCTTTGAAAATTTCTAAATTTATTAACTGTATTAATTAAATTTTCTTATAAAATAAATTTAATAATAATAATTATAATATATTAATTGTATAAGAATACTGTATTGTATATACTTAGTCTTGTAAAAGAAATACGGTTTTATTTTGAATATTAAATATTTAATATAATATATAGATAAA